CCTTCAAGGGCGGGTCTTCTAACTCCTTAGTTCCTGCCCTGTTTCCTCTTCCTCAGACCTGGAGGTCATAGCTGCTTTTTGCATTTACTATCACTGTATTGCCTAGAGTCTTCTTTTACCACCTTACTGCCTTTTACTAGTTAAAATTCCTTCTTACTGTTTAAAAAAGTACAGGAAATAGTCCCTGTCCAAGTTAGCGGTGAGGTTTCTGCCTCCTATCTGGACCCCGAGGGCTACATCAATATAGTAAATATAAACAGCCATGGGAACTAACTCTGTTTCTGTATAGTCTACACTGCTGCACATTTAACAGACCTCAGTGATTCACTTTTCCAGGCTAGAAATGCAATCCTTTACCTTACCTAGTGGTAAGTGGCTCCTTTTTACTATTCAGCCACATTTGTCATTAAGCACGAACACGTATGTTTTTCTGTTCCTTCCCATTTTAAGCAAAAGACCTATCATGGGTGGTTTATGGAATGTGAATAGTTTTTATCAATATATTTTTTTCAGGATATGATTTAGAAATTTGAAATTCTGTTTTCAGTTATTTCTGGTGCCATAATATTACAATAATACAATATGATATTTTAAAATCAGGTCCAGGCTGGCTGCTGTGGCTCATGCCAGCACTTTGGGAGGCTAAGGAGGGCAGACTGCTTGAGCTTAGGAATTTGAGACCAGCCTGGGCAACGTGGTGAAGCCCCGTCTCTACAAAAATACAAAAAAAAAAAAAAAAAAAAAAAAATTAGCTGGGCATGGTGGAACACACCTGTGGCTCCACCTAGTCAGGAGGCTGAAGTGAGAGGATCCCTTGAGCTCAGGGATCAGAGGCTGCAGTGAACTGTGACCGTAATACTGCACTCCAGCCTGGGTGACAGAGGGGGGGCTGGAAGTGGCAGATTCTTCTTCTAAATCTCTGATGAGGATAAGCCCATGACTCTCCAGTTTCACCAGTCCTAACTGTTTATGTGACTGACTAAAAAAGGTCCAGCCCATTCAGAATCTAAGTGAAAGAGGAAGATTTTTTCTTCAGTGTCCCTTCAAATTCCAAATGTCTCTAATTTTAGCTAACAACCCTGCTGCCTAGAATGGAAACCCACATCACAACAAATTAGCTAAGTGGTTCCTACACAGTCTTTACTTATAGGTTCAGCAATTCTATTTCTGAGTAATAAGTTGGTTGTTATGCATAAAACAGAATTTGGGGAAGATAATTATGTTTTTAAAAATAAATTAGATACAAAATTAACATCCTAATTTATTTTGGAAAACAGACCTATAGATATGTATTAATAAAATGCAATGACTCTTCTCACTGAATCCTAGAATTATCCATCCTACAAATGTTTATTAATAAATCAGTCAATGAAGATAGCATTAGGTGTGCTAAACTTTCACTGTGGCATATTTCTCAGTGCTAAATAAGAATATTGCTTTCTTTTGTTCCTCTTCAAAGAACACAGAACTTTGATGTGCCCCATGGCTCATAAACTTCTCTAACTACACTCACTTCCTGGCTGATGTCACCAAGGCTCTCAGCTTAAGACACCATCTTTGTGCTAATTATTTCCAAACTGATATAGCCGAGCTGAACCTCTCTTCTTAACTTCAGACTCATCTAATCAACTACCTACTTAACAGCCTAAACTGATGTCTAATAGTCACTGCTGACATATCATGACCAGAAGTAAGCTTATGATATTCCCTTCAGACCTGTTCATCTCATTATCTTCCCTTTTCCGGTTACTGGCAATTCCATTCTACCTGTTCATCAAGGTTTCTCTGGACCTCCAACCACTGCTACCCCAAAGTCATCTTCCACAAGGAATATTATAATAGTCTCCTGTTTCCTTGTTTCTGCCCTCGTCCTCACTATAGTCCATTATCAAAACAGCAGTCAGAGTAATCCCATTGAAGGATAAATCAAATCATGTCACTCCTCTTTCCCAATCCTCTCATGGCTTCCCATCTCAAAGTGAAAGCTGGAGTCCTTACGGTAGTCTAAAGTCCCTCACCACAGGCACTGAACCCCTTCCCTCTGACTTCACCTCCACTATTCTCCCTCTCTGCTCCAGCCACACTGGCCTCCTTGCTGCTCCTAGGACATCCAGGCACCGTCTTTCTACCCAGTGTTCTCTCTGCCTGGAACACTTGGTACCCTGATAGATTCTTAGGGCTCCCCCCTCAAGCCTGCAAGTCTTCACCTCAATGTCATTTTCTCAGTGAAGCCTTCCCTGATCACCATTTCTAAAATCTGCAATCCAGGCCGGGCATGGTGGCTCATGCCTGTAATCCCAGCACTTTGGGAGGTCGAGGCTGGAGGACTGCTTGAGCCCAGGAGTTTGAGACTACCCTGGGCAACACAGCAAGACCCTGTATTAAAAAAAATTAGCCAGGCATGCTGGGGTGTGCCTGTCGTCTCAGCTACTCAGGAGGCTGAGGTGGAGGGATCGCTAGACTCCAGGAGTTCAAGGCTGCACTGAGCCATGATCATTCCACTACTCTCCAGCCTGGATGACAAAGTGAGACCCTGGCTCTAAAAAAAAAAAAAAAAATTAAATCACAACTCCCTCCCCACTTGCCACACACACACACTCAGTCACTCACTTTCCTCTTCTCCCTCCCTGTGTTAGGTTTCTTCCTTATCACTAACCACTATCTAACTTATTATATAGTTTACTTGTTTATCTAGTTTATCATCAGTTCCTGACTAAGATGCAAACTCCACAAAGGCTGGGCTTTTGTCTGCTTTGTAGACCACATTCAGCACCTGAGCCTCTCTCATTCACACCCAGGCACTGGCTCAGTTGCCCTAGTACTTTGGGTGAAGAGGAATGAATATGGGCGTCAGTGGTTATTTTCTTCAGTCAATGAGCACCCTGGCACCATTGGTCTGCCCTTGAGCCCAGCAGGTGCATTTTTTGGGGGGAGCTACCCAACCATGGAATGCCAAGGAGTCCAGGGCAGGACACCATTCCTATCAGCAAACACTAGAACAGGGTAGACGCCGTGTGCCTCTGGTGTTTACCACATGCTGCCTCTAATAAATGCTATTCACAACCATCACTAGACCAGGTCCCGTACACCCTGACCCATTTTAACAAACGTACCCATTGAATACAGTGAAGCTAGGGAAGCCGAGCCCAGCAGCACTGCCTCACTGGGTCAGTCCCACTGCTGGGCTAGGACAACTGTGGTCCTTTCTTCTTACCCTGGAGCTGCTTCTGTGTGAGGGGCTTGCCCCTAAGCTAGCCCACCTGGCACCATGAGGTCCCTGCCTAATACAATGGTAAGTTCTCCCATAGCAGCTAAGCTAGTTCTGGCTACCTATTGATTTGAAAAGGTTTTTAGAAAGAAATTTGCATTTTCCCAGAAACATCAACTCTACATTATCCAAATAAACAACAAAGCTAGAACACAGGGGGCAAAGGATTATGAAAGGGAGGGGTTATAAACAAGGATCAAGGAATAGCAAATAATGACATCGGCAAACACTTCTATGATTCTGCTATGGTCTGAATGTTTGTGTCTCCTGAAAATTCATGCTGAAATCCTAAGCCCCAAGATGACCATATTAGCAGGTGTGGACTTTGGAGGTGACTAGGTCATGAAAGTGGAGCCCTATAAATGGGATTAGTGTCCTTCTAAAGGCAAAGTGGGAGCGGGTGTGGGGGATGTGGGGGAAAACTCCCTTGCCCCTTGCCCCTTGCCCCTTGCACCATGTGAAGACACAGCCAGGAGGTACTGTCTGTGCAGAAGTGACCCTCATCAGACCCGGAATCTGCCAGTGGGCTTCCCAGCCTCCAGAATTGGGAGAAGCAAATTCCTGTTGCTTATAAGCCACCCAGCCTATCCTGTTTTGTTACAGCAGCCCGAGGGGACTAAGACGGGTACTGTGTCCTAGATTAGCTCATTAAATATTCACTATGATCTATGAAGCAGGCACTACTCTTCATCGTTCATGAACGATTATTTCCCGCTGAGAAAACTGAAGCACACAGAAATCAGTCGCCTAACTCACGGCCCCTGTGAGAGGGTCGCCAAGATTCTGGAACCCGGGCAGTCTGGCTCCAGAGTCCGTGCTCTTAGTGTCCAGCTATACACTTGAAGAAGTGAAAACTGCAGCTCTTTTCGGACAGTGATCCCCTCGAAAAACAAACAAAAAACTGAAGCCCAGCGGCTGGAGCAAGGGGCCTGGAAAGGCGTTGAGCGAGGACCGGGGTGCGAGGGCTCCGGGGCGGGCTGCCGGGGACTGCCTCTATCGCGGGTCACCTGGGGTTGAACTGGAATTGTTCAGTGGAGGCCTCCAGGCCCTCCAGGATCTTCCGGCATTCCTCTGTCTCAGGCGTGTCGCCCCAGTTCGCCATCGCAGCCCGGGACGTGCGCCTCCCGCGGAGCCGCTTGCTGGGCTGAGTCGGAGTCAGGAACCCAGCGTCCGTTGCTATGGCGACTCCCAGGGAACCGGCGAAGCGCTGGAATCCGTGGGCGGGGGCCGAGGAGGGCCGCGGGTGGAGAGGGGCGGGGAGCGGGGTGGGGAGGAGAAGGGAGGAAAGAGGGAGGGGAAGGAGGAAGGAGATGGGGAGGAGGGGGATAGGGAGAAGGTTGGGAAGAGGATAGGGTGGGGGTGGGGGGGAGAGGGAGAGGGACGGGAACGGGCGAGGGAAAGGAAGGAGAGGAGGTGTGGAGGGAAGGAAGAGGGGGAAGAAGTGGGAGGAAGGGGGAAGAGATGGGAAGGAGGATGGGGAGGGAGCACGCGCAGGAGGAGGGGATTGGGGAGTGGAGAGGGGTAGGAGAAGGCTGGGCGGGCTCCCGAGCAACCCCGCTGCGCTTCCACTGTCCCGCCTGCCTCAAGGCTTCCCCACAAGGCAGCCACAGCCTGGCGGCCGCTGCGATACCCCAAAAGAAAGCTGCACCCCTGTAAATAAACCTTCAGCCTCCTGCCACGCCCCCGGACCCTGCTCGCTTCCTCCTCTACCCAGGCGCGGAGCTTGGCCTACCTCGTGGACCCGCGCATTTGCGGGGGCTTGGATTCCCGAGCTTCTCGCTTCCTACGCGCGCGCCAGAGCCACAGCTCGGTGGCCTTGGCTTTCATGGCCTCCTAGCGTGTGCCAAAGGTCCCCCTCAGGGAGAAGGAAAAACAGTGAACCCATGTAATAACTATGCTCATGATATAATGAGCCCTGCGATCCCGGACCAAGGCCATCATAAGAGGAGAGCAGGCTGCCTAATAAACTGCCTCCACCTACCACAAACGTAGACTTTCCTGGACAAAATATTTCCTTGCAGAGATTAAACAGATTTCTATTTAATAAGGTCAGGTGAGAACATAAGGCGTTAAGTCTTGAACTATATCATCTAGTGTGGAATTCAATTTTACCAAATTTCTACAATAATAGAGTTTATAGTGAAACTGTTGTCATTCTTAGTTTTAAGTTATGTATAACTCATTGTCAACTAATAGGAGACACCTATTCTAATATCAGTATGTCATTGCCATTGTTTTTCTGTAAACATTGTCTAATTTTCTTTTTAAAATGTCATTGGTTTAGAACTGTCTATACTACATCTGCATTTCAATATATTATCTACAGAAAAATAATTTTTTTCTTCTCTCTCTTCCTCTTCTTCTTCCTATTTTGGAGCCGGAGTCTCGCTCTGTCGCCCAGGCTGGAGTACAGTGGCGCGATCTCGGCTCACTGCAACCTCTGCCTCCCCGGTTCAAGCAATTCTCCTGCTTCAGCCTCCCGAGTAGCTGGGACTATAGGCACACAGCACCAAGCCCGGCTAATTTTTTTTATTTTTAGTAGAGACGGGGTTTCACCGTGTTGCCCAGGCTGGTCTAACTCCTGAGCTCAGGCAGTCTGCCTCCCTCGGCCTCCCAAAGTGCTAGGTAACAGGCGTGAGCCACCGTTCCGGCTTCTCTGTCTTGTAACAATAAGTGAAAAAGAACTTAGTTGGATTTAGAAGCTCAAAATAGGAAAACAAAAGCACTGTAGCATTATCACTACTCTTATGTTTAAAGACAAAGATTAAAAGCCCCAAATGCCAATAAAATATCATAACCAATGCCAAAATCATCTTCTGTGAAGGCTTATTTTTTGGGAGGGAGGTGAAGAGAGAAGAGAAAAAGTTACTTTTACTCTGTGGAGGTTTTTAATTTCAAACTCTAACTTAAGACTTTATTTGGGGATTTTTTATTATATAATCAAAAGGTATTTTAAAAGAAAGAAATTTATATATCTACAATAATTTTTCTTTTTCCTAAGTGATATTTTACCACAATGCATATACATGTTTTAAAATACATATTAAAATTTTAAGTTAAAATTTAAAAACCTATCTCTTTAGAGCTGGGCCAAGACAGTGTAAAGAATGTGACAAGCCGTTGGCTATTTTGCTAGTGCAATTATAAATGAATAGTTTGAAACTGAGGAGAGAGATGGCACAGAAGATTTCATGAGTCATTGGTCAGCTCTGTACAGCGTTTGTTGACTGATACAGCCTGCATAGTTACACCATCCCACAAAAACATGCATTGAACAAAACATCTTTGTTTGAAACCTTGCTATAGCATATCAAGGAGTTTCAGATTTCAGTGTGTAAGAGACCAAGCTATGATGATGATTGTTTTTGAAACCGTTAACTACATAATACTTCTCTTCTTGTCAGTTACCTGTATTTTATCTCACAGGTGTTCCGGCTTGTAAAATTGCTTATTTCAGATCACATTCTCACCTATAGTAACTGGCGCCGGCGTGGTCAAAACATTTGTCATGTTAAACCCAGGCCTCTTGTAGCACATGCTAAATTCATTGATGGCTTTAGTGGAAAGCTCATGAACTCTGCAGTAAACGTTGAATATATATAGGCTTTGAAATTTAATTTAGAATTTTGGGCAAGTAAGTCAACATTTCAGAGCCTCTGTTTTCTCACAAGTAAAAACTGGATAATGAATGTTTCTCAAAGAAGAGTTGGAGTAATCTATAAAGCAGAAAAACAAACAGCACATGCATGAGGCAACAGCAAGAGAAATACCAACTAGGCTTTTGAAGGACTCTATTCATTCTTCCTAAACTACTACTAGGGAAAACACTGTTTAAAGATTTCAATGTTTTGGCTGGGTTCGGTGGCTCACGCCTGTAGTCCCAACACTTTGGGAGGCTGAGACATGCAGATCACTTGAGGTCAGGAGTTTAAGACCAGCCTGGCTAATGTGGTGAAACCCTGTCTCTACTAAAAAAACCAAAAATTACCTGTGCATGGTAATGCACGCCTGTAATCCCAGCTACTTGGGAGGCTGAGGCATGAGAATCACCTGATCCCAGGAGGCAGAGGTTGCAGTGAGCTGAGATTGCACCACTGCACTCCAGCCTGGGCGGCAGAGTGAGACTCTGTCTCAAAAAAAAAAAAAAAGAATTCAGTGTTTAAACAATTGAACATTTTGTAAGCTAAAATTGTTTTTACTTTTCAGTTAATAGGACTTCAGGTATAATTTTAAAATTTAAAGTGCTTTTCTGACATACCACATGTATAAATAGAATATATATTTATATAAAAATATCGCCTACCAGTTATTAAAAGTGATAACATCTCAGATTAAGTAGCATGAGGATTTGATTAAGAGTCAAGTGCTGACTCTAAACATAGTAATTTATATATTCCAGTTGGATAGTATCAGTTCTATGGTCTAATAAGAGCCAAGAGGTTTCAGTTTAGGTTTGTAATTTAAATTCTTTCTAGAGAGTCATCACATGTGAAGTGCTTATTTTTCTTTTATCATCAGCTATAATATATGATTATGTGGTGGTGGATCTGTTATGTAAACTTGTTTTATGTCATGCTTCATCCATAACCAAAGTTCTTAAATAAAGTCTTGGGAAGGACATAGTAAGGCTCTTAGCCAGGACAATATTATGCTACTCAATCCTTTATGGAAAAAATCCTGAGACTAGATCATTTTAATGTCTTAAATTTTGCTGCTGTGAGACAGCATATCCACTCTGTGAAAGTCCATCAATAAGCGTTTGTCACCTGACTAAAGCTGAAAACCAAGATGACAAGCCCATTAGGGGGTTTGGGGCAGGCGCAACTGTGGATGTGGAATTTGGATCCTTGCTGCCAAATGTCCTTGAGCACTGGAGTAAAAGATTTCCTCTATTTGGTTCTAAGTTTAGATCATCACTGTTTAAAAGAGAGTAGGCCTGCGTGTGGCTCACGCCTATAATCCCAGCACTTTAGAAGGCTGAGGTGGGCGGAGCCCAGAAGCTAGAGGGCAGCTTGGGCAACAGTGAGACTCTCTCTCTATAAAAAATTAAAAAGAGAGAAAGAAATAGTCGTGAACATGAAGAAAATGACAGGGGTAGGTTGGGCCCGTAATGCCAGCACTTTGGAAGGCTGAGGTGAGAGGACTGCTTGAGCTCAGGGGTTCAAGACTAACCTGGGCAACGTAGGGAGACCCCATCTCTGCCAAAAAAAAAAAAAATTTTTTTTTTTTTTTTTAGTTAGCCAAGAACCTAGTGTTCCAGCTACCCAAGAGGGTGCAGCAGGGGGATCGCTTGAACTTGGGAAGTCAAGGATAGAGTGAGCTATGTTTGTGCCACCATATTCTAGCCTGGATGACAGAGTGAGAGCCCATCTCGAATAAATAAATAAATAAATACATACATAAATAAACGTTAGGGCTTAGCTGTCTGCAGAAGTGAGCCCACCTGAGACAGAATTTGTAAACTTACTGCTGAGGGAAGTTTGGGTGATCTCCAGTCTGTTCAAATGACCAGAGAGGATCCTAGTGCCCAGAACAAACCTAGGAAAACTGTAACCCACATATTGGAATGTAGGGTGAGGCGGTTCAGGACAAGTTGAAGTCTGGAGAGTAATACAAGGGCAGTCATCATGTTTCATACCGTCTAAGATTGCATCCTTTAGGATGCGTCTTTATTTTCTGTGCCACATAGAAAAAAATGCTGCCAACTATGATTATACCTTGACACACCATGGACTGTATGATACACTACCATTTCAAGGATATACCAAAATGATACACCAAAATTTCATGTTAGAAATGTGAAAACCTGTCCGGATGCAGTGGCTCACACCTGTAATCCCAGCACTTTGGGAGGCCCAGGTGGGCAGATAACCTGAGGCCAGGAGTTTGAGACCAGCCTGGCCAACATAGCAAAACCCCATCTCCACTAAAAATACAAAAATTATCCAGGTGTGGTGGCATGCATCTGTTGTCCCAGCTACTTGGGATGCTGAAGCAGGAGAATCACTTGAACCTGGGAGGCACAGGTTGCCGTGAGCTGAGATTGCACCACTGCACTCCAGCCTGGGCGACAGATACTCTGTAGCACCCTACTCCCCCACCAAAAAAAAAAAAAAAAAGTGAAAAACTGTATATCTTAGAATCAGTGAAATAAGGTAGTTAATAAGAATTTATCAGGCAGAGATCCTTTCTGGGGCTCCATTTAATCAGACCCTAGAGGGATCTACTCTCTTGAGAAGCAGGACATTCATGAGGCTTTCCCACAATAACTTGGATAAAGTGCCCCATAGGACCATCTGGTTCTCTCTGTTCTTTTTCTAGTGTCACAGGGCAACGTGCAAACAACTAATTCATATTCTTGGGTACACAGATGCCAAGAAGTCTTAATCTAGATAGCAAGTGTGATTTTGGCTAGTGTGAATATTCCCCTGTAGTCTCACCTAAATAAACTGATAAAATACAGTGTTCAGAGCTGTCTACATGAGGACTAGACTCAGAGTCAAGGCATGCCCACAAGGTACCACCAAGTCACACTTTACCAGGCAGTCAGCATGGCTCTCTCATTAATACTTCTGCATCTGCGAAATTAAGTACCCTTTATCATCCTGCAGCTTCAAACTCTGTCTCAGAAATGTAGTACCGAAAATTCAAATGTAGCAATTTTGAGAACTAGAGAGGAATGTTAAACATAGAATAGGGTAGTGTGGAACCCAAGTTTGTTATTGTTACGATGTCTGTTAACTTACCTGGGCCTTCTTCAGTCTACACTAAGAGGTATTACGTGTCCGTTACATAGATTATGCCATCACCAAGGTGCCAATCAGGAATGTATGGTTCGGAGATGGCCCATTCACTGTGAATCAGGAAGCCTGCATCATAAAAAGGACTACGCCAAGCTCTGCTGTGAATTGAATACTGATGAACAAGCTGCCCTGTGCTAA